GTGAAATTTCCATTTTAAACCATTTCTATTTGGAAAAGTTTGTACCTTCCTTTCCTTTTCTCTTCTGCAGAATTTGATCTTGAAAATTTGGTATAGAAAGCCAGTAAAATGATGTGCCTTTTTCCCCATGGAGTCACATTTCTTCTGAGTTTAGGTCCTTTTTATTTTAGAGTGGATATCTTTATAAAAGTAATAATATTACTAAATGCATGAATTCTTAATAACAGAGAGCAATTTTCAGTTTTGTGTACAATATGAAAGAAAGATAAAAGTATGGAGACATTTTTCCTCTGCAAATGTGTTTTCTGACACTTAGTTTATCTCCTACTAATTACGACACAGACAACTGACTTTTCAGAGTCCTACTTTGTGCTGCTATTTAGAAGGAGCTTGAGGACCAATTTTATATACTGCAGATCTGAAAATTACTCTTGGACTTAACACAGTCAGTTAAATGCCAAGTTTTCATAAAAGCCTCACAAATGTCTTCTATTTGTAGTTCATGAAAAGTTTCATTCTTTGAAAGACTCTAAATGTTCTTGCCAGCAAAGTGGTGCTAAAATGGTTTTAGCACTTCTGTGAAAACTGTAACACAGATGATTACAGATTATAATACACAGAACAAGGCCTTGGAGAGTACATTAGATTTTAGCAGTATTTGAAAGCTCAACTAGATGTTGGTGAAAAGGAAAGGAAAAGGAAAAGGAAAAGGAAAAGGAAAAGGAAAAGGAAAAGGAAAAGGAAAAGGAAAAGGAAAAGGAAAAGGAAAAGGAAAAGGAAAAGGAAAAGGAAAAGGAACAAAGCCATCTCTCCCTTTCCCTCCCTACTGCAGGCTCTTCAGTCCTTTCTTGCACAGAAAAGAACTAATGAAAATACTTAGATTGAGGATGCCTCAAAGACCAAGTCATCCTGATTAATGTTACCCACATGACAAAATACTGAGGCTGCAGAACTACAAACCTCATGAGACTGTGCCATGGCATATCCCAAATTTTAAAATGGACAAAAAAATTCACAAATATTTGTAATAGAAGTAATAATGGAGAAGAGTGGAGTCTGACTTCGAAATTTGACTGTGTTAACAATAAAGACAGCATTGCACCAAAAAAATATAGAAGAGAGGCTGTGGTAGCAGTGGGAGAGCTGCAAGAACAAGTGGTGAGGGGGTTAGAACCGGATGATTTTTGATCCATTCCAACCCAAGACATTCTATGATTCTATGATATGGCAGATAAACATCAGGTAAAGCCAGCTACAGGTTAAAAAGTTTTCCAAACAAGCTTCAAAACCGGGGTTCAATATGTTTCACACAGCATTTTTACTTTATCATAAATTAAACTTTTGACAGATATTTTTAGCAAGCTTTTGTAGATACTTTTCAGCTGACAGCTGGACGAGTCTGAAACTGCAACTGCTGGATTTCCATCCCTTCTGAAGACAGCACTTTCTATGGGTGACCCAGTCGGTAGGACTAGAAAGTTTCCTTCTGAAGCTCATTGAGTTCCTGCCCCGACACAGCCATGACACAGCCTGCAAGGTCTTTCAAGGAGTCATATATAAACATTACATACTCACAGAGAGAAAGGTAAGCAATGGAAACAAGATCAGAAAAAGTCTGGAAAACAAAAGATAGGATGAAGCAATAAATTCTCTGTGCAGCAGCCATCAACAAGAGCCTTGAAACAGTGTACTGCTTAACAAACATACTGTAATACTAACACTAACAAGTGATATGGTTATTTAGGGTTTCATGTGGGTCAGGGTGGATTATGAGGTCAGGCAATGCAAGAATAAAAGCCAAATGTAAAACAGAAAAAGCACCTTTCTGACAAGCAAAATGTAACCTAGTATTATACCAGACAAGGTCCTGACAACCATTTCAATTGGAGGAAAGAGAGTGTAAGACAGAGAGCTTGGAGTAAACCTCCTGGTCAGGGGCAGCCAAGAGCCAGGTGAATTTGCTTCATGAGGATGGGGAGGAGTAGACATATCAGTGAGGGTAGAAGTAGGATTAGCCAAAAAGCAGCCTCTCCTGTCAAGCAAGTTCATAAAGACTTGAATTGCTAACATTAGAGAAGTGAAAGATAGTCTGGGATTTGATAGAAACATGCAGTATTGCATGTTCTGAAAAACCTAGATGGGGCCCTTCCTTCATCCTGTCCTGGATTCTACTGTCACTGCAATAAAGCATAGGCAATACCCAAAGAAATTAAGTAGTGCTTCTCTGGAAGGCACAGAATTAAAATGAGGAATACACTGTCCCAAGAACAGGGGAAGGTAAGGCATAACCGAGATTCAAATACTGAGATACTTCACATATGAAAAATACTCAGTTATCACCATTTATGATATTTTTGGCAGAGATGTTATACCTTGCAATTAAGAGACTAAACCAATTGCTAAATACTACAATTAAAACTATGTGTAGGCAAGAAGCAACTCGCTGTGTGCAGCAGAGTTCATGAACCTCCTTCAGGAACCAGCTGTAAATGCAAAGCCTGGAAAGCAAAGTGTGCAGAAGCTCTTTTCTCATGATGGCAGGAGGGCACAGGGAGATCCTGCAAAACAAAATCAGTTTTTAAAAAACTGAAAATAAATCAAAATACCACAGTCCTGCTTGAGTTATGTTTTTCTATGATCTTTTACTCAGCCTCCCTTTTTAATTTTGCCCAATGCTCTGTGCTATGCATGATTTAATATTTCAAATTCATTGCCTCTCTGATCCAGATTTACCAGGCACTTTGAAGTCAGACATAGTGACACCTTTTTTAAATGACTTAGACAAAAGCAATTGCTGGCATTTTTTGCTATGCCTGTGAAAATTTATAAGACCTAATAATTCTGCGTGCTTTAAAAAGTGGCCTAGAAATACATATGGCAAAAAGTATTTTCATGTGTTATGAAACAAACTTAGAGAGAAAATTACTTAATTTAAGAAATCATCTTTAGACAATTTAGCAACTATGACTTTGTGTGCCCAAAGTCTTTAGAAACCATTTATCCAAGCAATAGTTAGAGGTAATTATCCAACTGCATGCATACAAAGGAAAGTAAGATTTGTAACAGAGATAGCATTTTTCAAGTCCATGTAGCTGGAAAAAACAGACAAGCTTGCAGACATACATGCCCTCCTCCAGCTCATTTTTTCCCAAACTACCTAAGCTGGTAAAATAAAATAAACCATTTACATCCCAGAACTATCATTGCTGCAATGCTGATACTGATATTCACAAAGCAGAAGACTTAAAAGATGTTGCATAGGAACGTATGTTGTCAGCTGAAAACTATATCAGCAGAGTGGTGAACAAAACCTTTGCCAGCAAATATTTCTATGAGGATGCTTGTTGAAGTTCTACCTTAAATTTCTTTCTGGTGAGAATGAAAACCTGACAGGGTTTTTTAGCTTTATTTCATATTTGACTGTTGATGTTAATAAGAATGTCCTGTTCAAAGAACTTCAATGCCAGGAAAAAAAAAAAAAAAAAAAGACACAGGGGTGACTGGATGCTGTAGATTCCTCAGAGTTATAAACGAAATACCGGAAAACACATCTGGGAGCCACATTGCTGAAGGCTGAACAAAGTGAACCTAATGAACTGAGGTCTGAAGCAGTGTTGGAACTGAAGGCAGAAAGAGCCCTGTGTATGCAGTAGACCCAAAATGTGGATAATCATGTCTACCTCCACCGTTTGCAGCAGAAGGACTCCAATTTTGCTAAAACTGTTTCCAATAGGAATGCATCAGACCTTGTTTACTTCTCCTAGACATGTAATGAAAGGAGACAGCAAAAGGCCAGAGAAAATTACAGCTTTGCTTCTCAGTATTCTCCTATGCCTTTTACAACTTTAATACTGAAAAAGTAGTGTTTCTTGGGTGCAAATGTTCTCCTTGTTCTATCCATTGGAGGTAACACAAGTTCCTCAATGGCAACCTTTAAACTCCTGGAAAATTATGTGATATGCGCAATTCATGCATTTGCAGGATCATGGATCTTTAATTTAGATGTGTTTGGAGAACAAGAACTGACTGCTTAGAAATGTCACCTAGTACTTTGCTTTCTCTAATGGCCCTGTAGACCATAGCAAAGCTTTGAGTTGGTGGTGTTGATGGTCCTATCTGTATACATGTAATGGATGTCAGTGTCAGAAGAAATGATCCCTCATTTGCTCTTGGGAAGTATCTCACCTCAATTAGTGTTTTCCACAACACTGGATGTTTATTCATATTTGTTCTAAGTATGTCAGGCCCTTTATGTAGATGAGACCAACGGTCTGATTGAAAGGGCCTTATCTACAGCCTGTCCTTTCTCAACTCTCCATGTTACCATCTTCAGAATGTGAATGTGCCATGAGAGGGAGAAAGTGAAGAGTGACTTCACTTGCATGTGGCCCTAGCTTGACTGTTCCCTTTGCACAAGCATCCTTCATGTCCTCAGTCAGGCTCCCTATGTTGTACATGGTGCATAAGTCCCAGAGTCACACAGAGCCACAGTCTCAGCATTTCTCCATCTCAGCAGGCCTCACAGGAAGGTCTGGATTGCTGCAGGATGGACACCAGCCACTTAGGGATGCATCTCTGGAACCGCTGCTGTCTAAAAACAGAAGCCATCATTCCCATCCACAAGGAGAGGAGCCATCCCCAGACTCCAGGCCTCGCCATGGCGACGCCACATCTCCCTTGGAGCTCCCAAGGATGTCTCCAGGCACAAGACCAGAGCTTGCTGGCCTGGGATTGCTCTGTCTGCCTCTGCTCGCACAGCGCCTCAAGCACGGCAGCGCTCATCGTCAGCTGGATTTAACCAGAAGCTGCCAGTTGCTGCCAGCATGAAAACAAGCAGAGGCTCCCAAAGCCACAGCCACACTGCAGCAAAACCTAAGTCTACCTACAGGTACTGAATTAAGTCATATAAAACACACGCAGCAACAACGAATGGGAAAGGAAGACAACCAAGCAGATACAAGCATTATAACCTGTTGAATGCTGCCAGGTACAAGACTTTGGCAGCGGCCATTGTTGGCTGCAGAGTACATTGTTGGGTTTGCTCAATTTTGTTTGGTTTCTGTTTTGAAGAGATCCCTTGCAGACACAGCAGCTCCTCAGTGCACGGCTTTTCTTTTTGTTACGTGGTGTTCCCGAACAATGAGGCCCCGCGAGCTACAGCTCTGCAAATAATAAATAGCTTTAATTAAAAAAAGATTGTGTTTGTAGTTATTTATTTATATCTTTAAAACCAAATTGCCACTCCCAGGATATTCATTCAGCGCTGCAGACATATTAGAAGCCATGAGAAAATGAAGAAAATGTTAAGTAGCTGAGGAGGGGATTTAGATGGGGGGAAAATTGAAAGAAGTAACTGATTTGCATACAGCTTAACTAGGCAAAGGCTGAGGGGACATATGTTAACTGGCTATAAGCATCTGTTAGAAATAAACAGGCAGCAGAAGAAAAACAAGTTAGGATAGTAAAAGAGCAGTAATTATAAATAATGACAACTCTGAGAAAGGCAAAACTTAGACTAAACATCAAATATTTTTTTACCTCTGTCCTAGGCAGTAATACATTCCGACGGACCTGAATAGAAATACCTTTGCATGGTAAAAGTCATTCTATCCTCCTGGTTTAAAGTCAGTCTATATAGGAAACACAATCTTGCATTGCTAATCTCAGAAACTATCAGTTCCCATCTATAAGCATCATCTTCCAGATAAGGGACAGCAATTGCAGGAAATATCATTCACTTCAGAATTCATTTCTAAAATTATCATTGCATAAGGTAAGAACTAAAGCAAACAAGTAAAAAAAGAAGGGGCCTGTCATCAAAATAGTAATGCAGCAGTCATTCTGTACTGTCCTCTTTATTAGGACAGTGTCTTTTAGTTTTGGAGCAAAAGAAACAGTGCAGAATAGTGTACTCCAAATCCCAGGATATTTTAGAAACAGCAGTGACCTATCTGAAAATTTTCCAGTGTTTCAGTACTTTTCAGCTGGTATCTCTTCTGCAATTGGTTAAGTGAAAACCAGGTGTGTATTCTCTAGGGTCATCTCAATGGATGTATATTGAAGAATGACAATTTCTGGGTTGTGTTCAAACATTCCTCTGGATCCATGTCATCTTGGCAAACAGCTATAGATGCATATACTGACCTGTATCTCTTCATCTGCTCTGTATTTTGCTCGGTTCCGTAACCACAGCCAGTATTTGGATTTCATCACACAGAGGTGCCAAGTCTCTGCAGAATTAAAGAGGAAAGGTGTGACTCATCTTGAAGAAGTCCAGATGTAATGTTCCCATTACCTGTTACAACGAACACATTACCATTTCAAAACAGCCCTAATTTTCAGGGGTTGCACTGAGAACTTCATTGCCTTTCATTATTATTTGGAAGAATTGCTCCCCGAAAGGTCTTTTCTCCTCTGGTGAATACACAGGGAACCTTCAGCAACTTTCAGACTCATCCTACTCCGTAGCCACCATATAAGTTTACTCTTTGACAACCCCAGTCCCAACGGGACGCTTCATAACTTTGCCAAGATTAACTAAAATGCGCAAAATTGAACACAATCACTAAGAATCAAAGCAGTTCTAGAGCATGCCACTCAGCCCCCATGGCACACAGAGAGACAGAAAAGTGAAGCAACCTTTTCTCCATACAGCTTAATGTACAGCTTACATTTAGGCCAAGAAATGGAACTGACTGTTCGAGCTGACTACTGAAGCAATCTATATGCATTTGTCTGCACAAAAATCTTTCCTCTTTCTTCTGCACCAGCACAGAGGCTTCCTATACTTCCTCTATTGCTTTTTTTTTGCATGATTTACTGATGACTGCACTTGGGAAGATTTAAGCAATCCCTTCTGCACCATCGTTTATGTAAACTTACATTTTCCCTTGTCTTTGGCTTGAAAATATAAAATATAGGATACCATCCTTCAGTAGTCACAGACAAACCTTCTGTTCTCCAAACACAGCAGTTAAAGACACTACTCATTTAAGAACTGCTGATGGTTCATACTTAACTTCCTTCAAAATAAACACCCAAAAGGACAAAAAGAAATATGACTATCCAAAGTTATATACACACATTTGATACATGCCCTAATGACCCAAAAAATTGACTTTAGTGGCTTACGGAAAAAAAGCTGAACATGAAAGGGTATAAACTCTTTAATCTATAGAAAAAGGGAAAAAAAAAGAAAAAGAAATTGGCAAGACATATTTATGGAGATACGAGCAGATCTGTTTCTCAAACAGAAATCATAGAGCAAGGTACATGAGCTGGTAAGTTTTAAATATTATTTTGCCTGAAATACTGTTTCTTTTCCTACTATTACATATTTTCAATAAACCAAATACATCAATTTTCTACAAGTTTGTGGGTATGCTTGAAAGTAACCTCATATGGCACAAAGCAAATCTCCACTTTCTTTATATATTCACGTTTAACCACTGCTGAGTGCAGGGCCACTAGTTTATCCCTAGGCTGAGGTCATAGAAATACTGCAGCTCACATCAAAGCTGACCAGAAGGCTGAGAGAACCAATGCAATGACCTTATGTAAGAAAGGGTCTGAGTTCAACAAGCTTCATCATGATGCCTATGAGCCAGCCTATCTGAGCTGTGATTACAGCGTCCTGCCTCTGTTATTCACCACAGTGGAACAAAAGAAAAATTAGAAATCATCTTCATATATGATGTCTACTACCAAGAAAAGGCAGCAGAACTGAAGTTGGGTTTATAGCCCTGTATTTTCTCAAAGAGACATCGAAAGTTTTCTAAGTGTAAACCACATGTATCATCTGTAGAAAAAGTTTGTTCAGAGAGTGAATAAAAACATCTTATTTTGTGGCTATTCATGATGTGCAACTATAATCACAGAATCATAGAATCAGTATAGTTGGAAACACTAAGGCTATCTAGTCCAACCATCAACCCATCACGCCATGCCCACTAACCATGTCCCTCAGTGCGATATCCACACGGTTCTTGAACACCTCCAGGTGTTCCACCACTTTCCTAGGCAGCCTATGCCACTCTTTCTGGGGACAAATTTTCCTTAATATCCAACCTGAACTTCCTCTGATGCAGCTAAAGGGCATTCCCTCTCATCTTATTGCTGTTGCCTGGGAAAACAAGCCTACTCTCACATCACTACAATCTCCTTTCAGGAAGCATGGAAGAATCTGTTGCTTGCTCTGCCAGTTTCGTTTTGGGGGCTGAAAGAAAGATGCTGGATAATGTCAGAGAGGGATGTTAGCTCCTCACTACTCAATTCAGTGTACTTAGATTAGCAGCAGTAGTTGGAGCAGGAGAGCTGGTAGGAGAACACAGAAAGCAAGAACTGCCAGGTGAAACCCTGCTGCTGGTGACCAAAAATTGTTTCCTTGTAAAGGCTATCCCCAGAGAGGAATTAGGACAGAAAAATGTGCTGTAGGACAAAAGGGGCTTTTGTTCTCCTGAAAACTCTGGTATGTTCTGTTTTAGGAATTTCAAGTCTACCACAGCAATATTTCAGCATTTCATCCACTCTGATTGGAAGAGAGGCAACAAAGAGAGAAGACAACAGTGCAGGAGCACACTCAAATGAAATGTAACTTTAAAAGACAGTAATGAAGCAACATTTTGGAATGGGTTTGGAATTAATTATAATCATAAGAATGCATTTATGTAAAAATTAATGTCTCAGGATGTTCCTAAATAAAAGTTAAAGCAACCATCCATGTACTACCAATATGCAGTATTGGTGGTACTGTTTAATATGAGGACTCAATTACCCTGTATTAATAAACTCACATTCACTTTTCTAAAACACATTTTCCAACTGTTATTTACTCAAAAAAAAAAAAAAATCATAACAGATAATTTATTTCAAATCTAAAAGTAAACAGAAACCTCAACAGCAAGCTGTACATCCATGGCAAAATTAGCCACTGTGAAGTTACAGTCCTTGATCTCTGTCAGACTAACAAACACCCATAGTACCATCTTCATGCTCTAGAAGAAGGATGTCAAATTCCAAAGGGAAAAGATGGAAATAACCTGTGAGCAAGCCAGCAAACCCACGCCCCACCTCCTCAGGCATATGAAGACAGCCTCCTGTACAGGATTACAGCATTTGTTCAGGCTGTAAACTCAAGCCCTCAGAAGCAAGGACATGGTACAATGAAGGCTGCAGGGCTCACAGGCCAGGAGGGACTTACACTGGATGTTGGTCTGAAGATACACATCCTCCTTGTTGGACTAGACCATAATTGCGTAGACTGGGGAAGATGTACTCAAGGAGTCTGAGACAGCAAAGAAGACAAAAAGTGAGTCATCTCTGGAGACATGAATTTTGCCACTGCATCCACCCCAGAGTTTCTCACGAATCCCAGGCAAGCTATTACGTACAGCAAAATTTGACAATCCCAATTTCAATGCCCCCTAAGTATTTGTAGACGCTGACTTATGCTCTCTGACACCATGAGCTACTAGACACTCCATCCAGCCAGGTGTTTTGGAAAATCCAAACAGACATATAAGTAAATCTGAAAATTGTCCCTGCATGGGGATCAAATTGTTTATGTATTAATAATGTGATAAACAGCTCATTAAGAAAAACAAGTTTTATCTGCTCTCATTCAGGGACTAAAACAATAATAAAATAAATGAAGGGGTAATTTAGGTGCAAAAAGTATTTTACAAAGATTTTGTTATGCAGTCAGGATATTGAAGATCATTTTACTGAAAAAATAAAGTGCCCCTTAAGCACTCTCTGTGAATTTTCAGTCAAGCATCCATTTCCATCCAAATCCAATCAACTGGAATGCAGTTCTCTTTACAGAGAGAAGCAGAAAAAAAAATGCAAAGCAATCATAAGTAATGCTTAAATCTATTATATAGACCTAGATTTCTTGTTCAGGACAGATTTTACTGAAAAAGAACTACTCTGGGACATTCTAGCAATTAAACCATCAAGTACCACAGGCAAAACAAGGCCAAATAAAAGATACCTAAGAAACTGAAATAATGTCATTCCTTAACTTTTGAAACATTTTGTAACCCCATTAGCATTCCTATGTGATTATAGAAAATGTAAAAAAGTAAATATTATCTGTAGAAACATTTCTACACTAATGTATTTCCAGAAATACTGACAGGATAAATCTGGATTACTTTAATTTGAACATCCCCCAAACATTATAAACCTAAACCTTCCTAATGTAGTCATAACTATCCATGATTGTAAAAAAATCTTCATATTGATGAAATGAGGTCACAAAAGATGTATTTTTTTCCATTTAGACAAGGAGATAATGGGCATGGTGGTGATGGGTTGATGGTTGAAATAGATGGTCTTACTGGTCCAACCTTAATGATTCTGTGAGTCTACAATTCTGTCCTGATAACATCTGACACTCTAGAGAGTAAATAGTTATGACCTGGAGATTAGGAGTAAGAGCATCTTCGAAACAGAAGATGTTGTGTTTTTTTCCACCTGGCACTTACAAGAAGCTGAGAGCATCAACAATTACTTGACTATAATGTCTTACGTTCTGAGCCAAATCCCCTTGGTAGCCATTCTACTATCCTCAGTGCTCTTTGAAGTAGTCCCTAAGTAAACAACTGAAGAACTAAAGTCAAATACTTTACTGCATCCTTTTTTTCTGTACCTCTCTAAAAACACAAATGGTCACCAGTACTGATAGATGATTCAGCCAGAAGTCCAGCAGCTTTGCTCTGGAAACTTATCAGTCCTGTTTTTTCAGCTACAAAATGAAGTGGTCCCAGGATTGATGCTTGCTAGAGGTATTCTGCTCTTGGCTCCACAGACACGTGCTCACCACCTCTCATTTCTGTGGCTGACATCCAGTTCACTAGAGACCTCCAAATGGAGATCTTTTAAACAAGAATGTCCTTTCAGCAGCCTGTACTCGAAAGCACAATTAAATAGGAATCTACTGAAGTGATATTTTTACATAGATCTGATTTTACTTCATCAAACTTCTAATCTATAAGCGTGAATGAACTGACAACGTAGTCTCTCCTCCTGTGTGACATAAATTTGAGCTGACAGTCCATCACAGAAGATTTCTTGTCATTGTAGCATTTCTTGTTACTATGTAAAGAAGACAGGATTGCTAATGAAAACTACTTTTTTGTGCCATTTTCAATTATAAGAAGATTTGTGAGGGGTT